TCGATTGGTACATTGGAATTGGCCGAAAATAGGGCTCAAAGTGGGCGAAATCGCTGATGCATAAACATCGTCAAGACCGCTAACTTTGCAAGAGCAAAATTCTATAAGTTTTCCATCAAATTTCATGCTTTTGGTGTCATTGTGATTGGAAAAAGATTATCATTTCATAAGATTTTTTTTTTTTTTTTTTTTTTTTCTCTTCAAAAAAATTTCAACCCTGAGAACAAGTGTAGGAGAGGGCCTCTTGACCCTGAAAGGGTTAATAATCATTGGTCAGTTCTTTAATTGGGAAGGTTTGAGTCATAATGCATTGTTCCATTCATTAGTGAAAGTTTTATATACAGTGGAACTCTAGATTTTGTACGCTCTGAATATCTTACGTTTCGGATTTAGACCACTTTTTAGGGAGAAATTTTGGTTCGAATTTCATACCTCCACCCAGAAATCGTACGTATCAGATGCATCCGCCTGCCCGGGAAGCCGCCACTCATGCGTACGTGTCTCAGTCTGGCTCAGTCACTGGTCAAGTGAGCATTACTTTTCACGTTCATCTGAAGCATTTTGTAATAATCCATTGTTTTTTGTGCTTAACTATTGAGTGCAACTGCAAAATAAGCCACCATGGGTCCAAAGAAAGTTCCTAGTGCCAGCCCTTTGGTAAAGAAGGTGAGAAACACGATAAAATTCAAGAAAGAGATTGTAGAAAAAATATGAAAGTGGCATACGTTTAGCCGAGCTTGCCAGGTTATATGGGAAGTCGAAATCAACAATCTGTTCAATCCTGGCAAAGAAAGTAGAAATAAAGGAAGCTAAAGTTGCAAAAGGAGTAAATGTGCCAGCAAAACAGACATCACAAACAATTGAAGATGTGGAGAAGCTGTTGTTGGTGTGGATCAATGAGAAACAGTTAGCGGAAGATAGTGTTGTCAAGTCGATCATTTGCTAAAAGGCAAGTCAGTTGCATGCAGATCTCGTAAAGAAAATGCCTGGAACTAGTGCTGCTGTTAGTTAATTTAGGCCAGTAGAGGTTGGTTCAACAGATACAAGAAGTGTAGTGGCATACACAGTGTTGTACGGCAAGGTGAGTCTGCAAGTTCAGACAAACGTGCATCCGAAGAATTCATTGATGAATTCAGGGAGTATGTAGAGGCTGAAGGATTGGTCCCCCAACAAGTGTCCAATTGTGATGAAACAAGCCTCTTTTGGAAGAACCTGCCAAAGAGGACCTACATCATGCAGGAGGAAAAGGCACTGCCAGGACACAAGCCTAACTCTTTTTGTTCTGTCCTAATGCTAGTGGGGATTTCAAAGTGTAGCCTTTACTGGTGTATCACTCTGAAAATCCCTGAGTATTCAAGAAAAACAGCGTCATCAAAAGTAAATTGTGTGTGATGTGGAAAGCTAATAATAAGACATGGGTCACGAGGTAAATTTTCATTGACTGGATCCATGAAGTGTTTGGTCCGAGTGTGAAAAAAAACTCCTGGGAAATAACTTGCCACTCAAGTGCCTCCTGGTACTGGACAATGCTCCTGCTCATCCTCCTGACTTGGAAGACCAATTGTTTAGGGACTTAAGTTTTATAACAGTGAAGTTCTTGCCTCCTAACACAACTCCTCTCATCCAGGCCATGGACCAGCAGGTCATTTCTAACTTCAAAAAACTTTGCACGAAAGCAGTGTTTCACTGCTTTCACTGAATTGACCCTAAGAGAGTTCTGGAGGAATCACTTCAGTATCCTCCATTGCATAAGCCTAATAGGTAAGCCTTTGCAAGGAGTGACTTCCAGGACTTTAAACTCTGCTTGGAGAAAATTGTTGCCAAAATGTGTCCTCAACAAGGATTTTGAAGGGTTTGAGGCTTAACCTGACAACCCTACACCTATTGTGGAATCTGTTGTGTCTTTGGAGATATCCATGTGGTTGGAGGTGAGTGGCCTGGATGTGGAAAAGTTGGTTGAGGACCACAGGGAAGAGCTAACCACTGAAGAGCTGCAAAACCTTCAACTGGAACAGCAACAGACCGCAACTGAGGAAATTGCTTCAGAGGAGGAGGAAGAGAGAGAGAGAGGGGGGGGGAAGGTTCCTACTTCAGTGATTAAGGACATTTGTGCAAAGTGAAAAATATTACCTGACCAAGCTGATACAAGCCGTATCTGCAACTTGTTCAGTGACAATACGTTGTCCCATTTTAGGCAAATCTTCAAGAGATGCCAGAAAGAGAGCTCTCTGGATAGATTTTTTTGTGCAACAGGGGTCCAGTGCCAGAAAAAAAAAAAAGAAGGGAAGTAACCCCAGATAGGGCTTTGATACCTGAAGTCCTTATGGAGGGGGATTCCCCTTCCAAACAATAAGCTCTCCTCTCTCTTTCCTCCTCGCCTTTTTCCATACACCAACAAGAGTCTTCAATAAAGGTAAGTGATAATGATTTAAATGTTCATTTATCTATTTCATTAGTGCTTTATATTTATTTCTCATTCTTTTCTGTATGTAAATCTATACTTATTCTTTAAAAAATGTATTTTTTGTTAATATTTTTGGGTGTTTGGAGCGGATTAATTGTATTTACATTACTTTATTTCTTATGGGAAATATTACTTCGTTTATCATACGTTTCGGATTTAGACCGACCTTCTGCAATGGATTAAGTATGAAATCTGGAGTTTCACTGTATTTGCTCCATTTCACTTTGAATTTTATTTGTGTATTTTTGATTTTCATGAATAACATACAGATCATTTGAATACAAGTCATCTAATTTTAAAACTAGTTTCTAGCATACTTGGTATCTTGTCAAATATTTGTGTATTAATAGTTCAGAAAACTTTTCTATTTTTCTAGCACATTGGTCATTTGCTGCCAAGATTGGATGACCCACAGAAGGAAATACAGCAGGGCCCCACTTATACGGCAGGTTAGGTTCCAGGCTACCGCCGTAAAGCGGAAACCGCCGTAAAGTGGAACACCCTTTTTTTCCACTTATAAATGCATACAAACACTAGATAACAAGTTTACACTAACATATATTAAGTTAGCAATAGAACCAGGCATCAGAAAACAATACACACATAGTGCACTCATTACTTACCTTAAAATATTTATAGTCTTTATCTAGGGTGAGACAAGTAGTATTTATTGTAAGAAATCAAGTGTAGTATGTATGGCAATCAGCCAGGCTACCTTACCAGGCCACCCCACCCACACATACTATTCTATGATATTTAAGCATCCCAGAGCGATAAAATGTATATACAGTTCATCATTATTACCTTAAAATATAGGGTGAGATGAGTAGTATTTATTGTAAAAATCAAGTGTGGTATGTATGGTAGTCAGCCGGGCTACCATACCAGGCCAACCCACCCACACATATATTCTATGATATTTAAGCATCCCAGAGCGATAAAATGTATTTTACAGTTCACTCATTACTTACCTTAAAATATTTGTAGTCTTAATGTAGGGTCAGGAGTAAGTAAATGAGATAAAACGAATAAATGAGAGAGAGAAAGAATGAGTACATGAGAGGGGACAGGCGCAGAGTTTTTGTAAACAAACCAGGCGAAGGTTAAGTTTTGTAAACAAAGTGTACACGTCTGGTTTGTGTACAAGTTACATTGTGTACAGGTTGTCTCTACATTGATACGGTAGAATTAATAAAGAGGAACACTCCCATTCTCATGTAACACCATTTTGAGAAGAAATGAAGCTCTGAGTGAAGGCAATGGAAATAAGTCACACTGACTTTTTTGGGTTATCCTAGGTTCTATACACATATGTTGTTATGTATGATAATCTATGTAACTGTATTTGTGTATACCTGAATAAACTTACATACATACAAAAGGAATAATTTCTACAGTTACCCCAGTAACACATTTTCTCTTATGTTAGATTAGAGAAAATGTTATTCTTGCCGTCACTTGTACAAGTTATCTGGCTCCCACATCTTATATTTATGTTTATTTATTCTATTGTGGGGTGTATTTATCATCTTTTTATGTTATGTATCGTGTCCCCTCAAGGAAGGTTCCTTGATGTTGGTGAGGGGCTCTTGATTTAGGGAATTGGATCTGTGCTCCAGTTCCCCGAATTAAGCCTGAATGCCTTCCACCCCCCCCCCCAGGCGCTGTATAATCCTCCGGGTTTAGCGCTTCCCCCTCGATTATAATAATAATAATAATATGTATCGTGTTTATTATATAATTTTGAAAAAAATATCATGGATGGATTAATGAAAATGTGTATATTAACGTAATATACGACATTTAATGAGACTCGGTGAGTATTGTTATTATTATTATTATCATTTCTAATATGGCGTCACTTGTGCAAGTCGTCTGCTACCACATCTCACATTTATGTTTATTTATTCTACTGTGGGGTGTATTTATCTTATTTATGTGTTATGTATCATGTTTATTATATAATTTTGAAAAAAATACCATAGATGGATTAATGAAAATGTGTATATTAACGTAATATATGACATTTAAATGACTCGATGATTATTATCATTAATAATATGACGTCTGGAGACATAAGACACTTACCGATTTTAATGTGTACCTGCATGCCAGCACAGTATGTAAGTTTATTTAAGTACAGGTATACATAAGTATAATTATCAGAGCATATATAAAATATGAAATAACTTTTAAAAACATTTGAAATTTTGGAGTTTCCAGACAAAATGGAGAGACTTAGTGCTTACTGAGCTCACGAAGAATGTAAACAAACAGGGTGGGGTGCGGTGACCGTATTAGAAAGTCAGGTGGGGGGAGCCGTATAGTGAGTTTTGGTCATAATTTGAAATGACCGTATTAGCGGAACGCCGTAAAGTGAAACGCCGTAAAGCGGGGCCCTACTGTACATGCACCATCTCTCATTTTCCTATCTGTGTTTCCAAACAATTCATAAATATCAGATAACCCTTAGAATGGCAGCAGCCTCCACTCTTATGTACAGTTTTCTGTATTTAGCACATATATATTTTCTTAGATGGGTTATGTTGCTGAATTGATCAAGTTAGCAGCAAAAAAATCACAACTCCTCCTCCACCAGCTGATTTGGAATATGGAAACTAATAAGTATAGAGATGAAGAGGGTCATGAGAAAGATGGTAAGCTATTATGTTTTATGGTAATTTCATTTTTGCCTTTTGTGTGAGCTATTTTGCAGATTGAAGGTTGTCATATGCATTTTGCATATTTGACCTTGTTTTTGGTATATTCTGCCTTTTCATTTTTTTTTTTTTCAACAAGTCGGCCATCTCCCACCAAGGCAGGGTGACCCAAAAAGAAAAATACTTTCATCATCATTCAACACTTTCACCTCACTTATACATAATCACTGTTTTTGCAGAGGCACCCAGATACAACAGTTTAGAAGCATATATAAAGATACATAACATATCCCTCTAAACTGCCAATATCCCAAACCCCTACTTTAAAGTGCAGGCATTATACTTCCCATTTCCAATACTACTGAAGTCTGGCTATATACAAATAACCAGTTTTCCTGAATCCCTTCACTGAATATTACCTTGCTCACACTCCAACAGCTCGTCAGGTCCCAAAAACTGTTCATCTCCATTCGCTAATATCTCACATGCTCACACATGCTTGCTGAAAGTCCAAGCCCCTTGCCCACAAAACCTCCTTTACCCCCCCCTCCAACCTTTTCTTGGACGACCCCTACACCGCCTTCCTTCCCGTACAGATTTATATGCTCTCCATGTCATTCTGCTTTGATCCATTCTCTCTAAATGACCAAACCACCTCAACAACCCCTCTTCAGCCTTCTGACTAATGCTTTTATTAACTCTACACCTTCTCCTAATTTCCACACTCCGAATTTTCTGCATAATATTTACACCACACATTGCCCTTAAACAGGACATCTCCACTGCCTCCAACTGCCTCCTCGCTGCTGCATTCACAACCCAAGCTTCACATCCATATAAGAGTGTTGGTACTACTATACTTTCATACATTCCCTTCTTTGCCTCCATAGATAACATTTTTTGTCTCCACATATACCTCAACGCACCACTCACCTTTTTTCCTTCATCAATTTTATGATTAACCTCATCCTTCATAAATCCATCCCCTGGCACGTCAACTCCCAAGTACTGAAAACATTCACTTCTTCAATACTACTCCTCCCCAATTTGATATCCAATTCTTCTTTATCCAAATCATTTGATACCCTCATCACCTTACTCTTTTTCTATGTTCACTTTCAACTTTCTACCTTTACACACACTCCCAAACTCATCCACTAACCTTTTCAATTTTTCTTTAGAATTTCCCATAAGCACAGTATCATCAGCAAAAAGCAACTGTGTCAATTCTCATTTTGTATTTAATTCCCCTTAATTTAATCCCACCCCTCTACCTGAACACTCTAGCATTTACTTCTTTTACAACCCTATCTATAAATATATTAAACAACCATGGTGACATTACACATCCCTGTCTAAGACCTACTTTTACTGGGAAGTAGTCTCCCTCTCTTCTACACACCCTAACCTGACCCTCACTATCCTCATAAAAACTCTTTAGAGCATTTAGTAACTTACCACCTATTCCATATACACCTACCATCCGACTTACGACCTGCTCGACTTACGACCACTCAACTTACGACCGTGTTTTTTATGCCAAATTTCTGGGAAATAAACAACTATTTGTGTTGTACACAGTGTTTATCCTAAACCTTACAGTATAAAATACAGTACTAACAACATAAAAAGTAAAGTAAAACATGAAATACCAAAATAAAACAATAAAATAAAGTCATTACAAAAATGTTTTGTTGATATTCAGTAGTAAAATTCGACTTAGGATCATTTCGACTTACGACCGGTTTCTCGGAACCGAACTCGGTCGTAAGTCGGATGGTAGGTGTACTTGCCATATTGCTCCCCTATCCACTCTATCATATGCCTTTTCTAAATCCATAAATGCAATAAAAACTTCCCTACCTTTATCTAAATACTGTTCACATATATGTACTTCAGTGTAAACACTTGATCTACACATCCCCTACCCACTCTGAAACCTCCTTGCTCATCCGCAATCCTACATTCTGTCTTACCTCTAATTCTTTCAATTATAACCCTATGGTACACTTTTCCTGGTACACTCAGTAAACTTATTCCTCCATAATTTTTACAATCTCTTTTGTCCCCCGTCCCTTTATATAAAGGGACTGTATATGCTCTCTGCCAATCCCTATGTACAATCCCCTCTTTCATACATTTATTAAACAAAAATACCAAACCACTCCAACACTCCATCCCCCCCTGCTTTTAACATTTCTGTCATGATCCCATCAGTTCCAGCTGCTTTACCCCTTTTCATTCTACGTAATGCCTCACGCACCTCTCCCACACTTGCATCCTGTTCTTCTTCACTCCTAAAAGATGGTATACCTCCCTGGCCAGTGCATGAAATTACCGCTTCCCTTTCTACGTCGACATTTAAAAGTTCCTGAAAATATTCTCACCATTTACCCAAAACCTCCATCTCCCCATCTTCTAGCTCACTTACTCGGTTTTTAACTAACAAATCCATTTGTTCTCTAGGCTTTCTTAACTTGTTTAACTCACTCCAAAATTTTTTCTTATTTTCATTAAATTTCTTGACAGTGCCTCTCCCTCTCTATCATCTGCTCTCCTCTTGCACCTCACCACACACTTCACCTTTCTTTTACTCTCCATATACTCTACTCTTCTTATAACACTTCTGCTTTGTAAAAACCTCTCATAAGCTAACTTTTTCTCTTTTATCACACACTTTACTTCATCATTCCGCCAATCACTCCTCTTTCCTCCTGCGCCCACCCTCCTATAACCACAAACTTACTCATACTTGCACCAGCCCACCTTTCTGCCAATAGTTGCTCATATCTCACCCGAACTTCCTCCTCCCTTAGTTTATACACTTTCACCTCTCTCTTGCTTCTTGTTGCCATTTTCCTCTTTTCTCGTCTACCTCTTACTTTAACTGTAGCTACAACTAAATAATGATCCAATATATCAGTTGCCCCTCTATAAATGTGTACATCCTGGACCCTACCCATCAACCTTTTATCCACCAATACATAATCTAAAAACCTACTTTCATTACGTGCTATATCATACCTTGTATATTTATTCATCCTCTTCATAAAATATGTATTACTTATTACCAAACCTCTTTCTACACATAGCTCAATTAACCCTTTCAGGGTCCGTCCCGTAGATCTACGGCTTCACGTTGAGTGTCCAAACCATAGATCTACGCCAAAATCCTAGCGCCATCAAATTTAGCGTAAAAGCACTCATAGGCCTACATGTGAGAGAACGGGTCTGCGTGGTGGGTGTGCGCCATAAACAAAAAATCTAGGCACCCGCATAGCATTGTGGGAACGCCGGCTCAGTTACCCTTGTTCACCATGCCTCGTCGCAAGGCAGCTCTCACTCCACGGAAAATTGGGACTCTGCTCTTCCTATCAGATAGTTCTGACACTGATGGAAGTGGAAATGAAGACGAATTCTTTGGCTTTGATCAGTTAGTGACCGAAAGGAATCACCAGGATATCGATAATAGTGCAGAAAACCCTGACGATCCTCAACCTTCTACCTCTTGTGTGGGCACTCCTCAGTCACGGTCAGTTGTACCTCAATGCAAGAGAAAACTATTATTTTCACTTGGCCAGGCCTCTGACTTCAGTAATGATGATGATAGTGACGTGGATTGTGATTTTATTGCGCTTGACGATCATTCGAGTAGTGATAGTGAGGAATCATATTCACCAGTGAAGCATCGGTATGTTCGCCGCCGCATGCGCTCGGGTAGTGTACCCTATGCTGTGCCCAGGGGATGGAGTACATCCCGGAGTACATCCCGTGGCCCTACACCAGGTTTAGATAGTGATAGTGAGGATGATGTGGCTACACTTGGCATGGATAGACCACAGGCATCAGTAGATGGTGGTAGTGGTGATGGTAGTGGCACCGCCATGCGTGACTCACCAGCCCAGGCTGGGACCCACACTGCTGACTTATCAGTTCAAGGACAAAGCGGAGCATCAGCCACCAGCCCACCACAACCACAGCCACCCGCACAACCAGCCTATGATGTCCAGTATCCACCAGCAACCCATATCTGGGATTGGCAGCAAAATCCCAATTTTGTTCCCAAGCCCCACCAGTTTGATGACTCTCAAAGTGGAATTCTACCTACTTGTCCCCTTGGAACCACGGCCAATGAACTGGAATTCTTTGAATTATTCTTTGACCAGCCATTGATAGAAACTATTGTCAGAGAAAGTAATAAGTATTTTCAGTACACCATGGCAAATGCAGTGATATCACCACAGTCAAGACTACACCGGTGGAAAGAGACGACTGTTGCAGAAATGTATTTGCTGTTTGCAACAATAATGCTTGTGCCTCATGTCTATAAGCATAATATAAAAGCATACTGGTCCACAGATCGGCTAATTTCTACCCCGGTCTTCAGTGAAATCATCCCAGTGAACAGGTTTATCTTATTGTTACGTATGTTGCACTTCTCTGACAAAACCAGGCCTGACAGAAGTGACAGGTTATACAAGATTAGAAATGTTTTTATGTATCTCAAACAAAAGTTCAGCATATACTTTTATCCATTCAAGAATCTTGTAATTGATGAGTCTTTGATTTTGTTCAAAGGTAGGCTGTCATTCAAGCAGTATATACTGAGCTAGAGGAAATGCTTTGGTATAAAACTGTTTGTACTCTGTGACTGTGACAGTGGCCTGGTATTGGATATTGTTGTATACACGGGAAGTAAATCATTGAGAGATACCAAGATATTATTGAGTATCTGAGGTGACGTAGTGAGAAGCATGATGGCACCTTATCTTGGTAAGGGGCATACATTATATACCGATAACTGGTACACAAGCCCATTACTCTGTGATTTCTTGCGAGTAAACAAGACAGATGTGTGTGGCACAGTGTGTTCTAATCGTAAACATATGCCCAGGCTCAATGCAGGTGCTCGTGGTGATGACATGCAGGTGTTTACTGCCAGTGACATCATGGCATTACGGTGGCATGACGAACGGGATGTCACATTGTTGACAACCATTCACTGTAATGAAATGCAAGATAGTGGCAAAGTTGATCGAGTGACTAGTGAACGTATTCG